AGACCGGCTTTCTTACGCCACCGGGTGTGTGAACTGTTGTGCGTGTCTGTCTCTGGCCATCCGCATTCTGGAGCAGGTGACACGAGCAGCCCTGTTTCGCGGTCTCCCCACTAGCACCAGGTGGGAGCACAGATCCCAGAGCCCATGATTGGGGTACCACCTTTAGCCTTGGCAAGAAGAGTCCCCGCTGACCCGGTAGTGCTGGGTGGGTCAGGCAGACTTCATGACTCCAACCTGGGGGTGAGAGACTTTCTCCCCTCTCTGCCCCCACCTCGAGGCTGATGGTGAGGGGGAAGTTTGGGCTGCCCGAGTGCCCCTCACTCTTGCCCTCGCAGGCCTCGTCCTGCTGGCAGACGGGTCCCTGTGTGGTTGGATGGCAGTTCTTTCTCCTGACCCTTCCATGCCCAGGTGGGGCCACCCAGACACCTGTTTCTAAAGGGAGCTGGGAGGGGATTCGGCTCCTTTGGGGAGATGGGTCCTGGCCCGAGGTGGCCCAGCCCCAGAACCCTGGGCACCCTGAGGAGTTCTGACCGCTCCTGTCCTGTCTTCCTTCCTGTACAGGCTCCTTCCCCACCCAGCACCCTGCCCTCTCCCCTTCCTGCCTGCTGTGCTGTGGGCTGAGTCTGAGCCCCAGGAACAGGCCTCCCACTCTTGGGGAGTCGGCTCAGACTGGACTCTGCCTCATCTTTCTTCCTGGGGGGTGTCCAGAAGTATGGTTTCTCTGCCTCCCCCCAATGCCGGCTGGAGGAGCTCAGAGTCCTCCCTGCACCAAGCTGTGCTCCCCTGGAGTGGAACCGGGGCCCGTGGGGCCCCTGTCACTAGTCCACTTGGTTCCTTTGGAGCCAGGGGCTGGTGGGGGGCCGGAGGGACCCCATCCCTTTAGGTCACAGCTTCCCGTCCTGCCTGCCACCCCAAGTCCTGGCGGCCCAAGGTGGTCTGTGGCTGGCGGCGTTGTGCAGAAGTGGAGGAAGCGGAGAGGGGGACCTGCTTGGGTGAGGGGGGCCGACGGTGGCTCCCTCTGACAGCGTCCCTGGTGTGAAGGGTGGCAGGGAGGGCCATGACTCACGCAGTTGTTCAAATGCACAGACTCATTCACGTCTGGGAACAGCCTAGGACGTGAGGGGTGTTGTCGTCCCTTGAGCTCTTGGGGAAACAGAGGCACGGATGGTTGGGGAAAGCTGTCTCAGTCCCATGGAAGCGTCAGCTTCTCAATGTGAAACAAGCCTGGCCGTCTCAAGGCCGTCTTTCTCCGGCTCCTGTGGAGGAGGACCGCCTGAGTCTTGTGCCACCCAGCTGCCACCAGCCCCAGGCAGATGCGGGTAGGGAACCCTGATCCCTCTGGGACTGGGCTGCGGGCCGAGGCCCTGCTGGCCTGTCCCTTCATTGTCCTGCCCTGGGTCCAGCTCTTCCTGCCCTGCCCTTCCTGGGCTGACTTTTCTGTATCTCAGATGAGTGCTTGCTCCGAGTTCTCTGGGGCATGCCTTGAGTGTGTGCGGATGCCTCTGTGCAGCAGCGGGCATGAGTCCGGCGATGAGTTGGAGGCCTGTTCTGGGGACGGGGAAGCCACAGCGAGTGTCCGGGCAGAAGCTGGGCGCATTCAAGTCCACTCCAAGGTGTGAGAGAGGGTTGGGGGAGCTACTAGGGCCCTGTTAGTCGCTGGCGTGTCTGGGAGAAGGGGCCTTGCTTGTCCTTGCTGCCAGGTGCTTTTGCCTCGGGGTGCTGGCAGGTCAGCAGGGCCCCTGCTTCTATCCCCTGTGAACTACCGAGCAAACCCCCACACCTGCCCCAGCCTCTGGGATGTCCTAGGAACCCTGGGACTTGTTTGCTGAAGGCCTAACTGGGGGTGACAAGCTGTACTCCCTCCCGAGGCCCTTGCTGTGGGCAGGCTGTGCCCTAGTTACCCAGGTGTTTGGACCCAAACCAACTTTTTCCTGCAGGCCTTGGCTCCTGGGACACTTTGGCTGTCTGGCTGGGTGACATTCTGAGGCCGATCCTACCTGGAGCTTTGGGATTTAGGCAGTGGGTGACTGAGCTTGCGAAGGCCAAACCTCCACCCACCTTCCCGCCTCCCCTGAACCCCTTGATCATGGGCACCTTGTGAAGGGACCATGGCAGGCACTTCGGACATCTAGAAATCTTGGCATCTCCTGCCTCAGGGCTGCAGGTGGCTTCCTCCCTCCTCCCCCCCATAGCTCCCGGGCTGCAACTGGGTGGTTTGGGAGGGAGAGGTGAGGTTCTGTGGGGAATTGTTGCCATGTCTGAAGGGCAGTCGGGGCTGAGCGAGGGTCCACCTGGATGTCAACTGCAGGGGCACAGGGGCAGGAGTCAGCTAGCTGGAAAGATGGTAGGGGAGTGGTCAGCTCACCCAGCCAGCTTCCCTTCCTGCTGCTTGACTGTGGGGGCATAGGGGGGTGTCCAGGGGGCTTCTACTTCTCTAGGGGTGACTGCAGCCCTGTGTGACCGCTGGGCAGAAAGAGCAGCGTGGGGGGCCTTGGCAGTGCTCCATTTCTGGACTTGGGCACCAGGAGGCAGAGAGCAAGAGTGGCTGGAAGCTGCCCCTTTTAGTGTCTTTTTCTTTTGCAAAAAAAAAAAAAAATGTACTGAATCACTATGAGATACAAAGTTACAGAGTTGTTCAATTGAGTTTCAGTGTGGTAACATTTAAGCACCCATCCTTTCACCAGAGTCCTTTTCCCTCCACCCCTGCCCCCAGTTTCCCTTCCGGCCTCCAGCCTGCCTCTGGGGCAGACACTTGTCTTTTTCCCTTTTAGGCATTACCGTTTGCAGTTCTGTTGCTGAAAGGGTATAGTACATAGTTCAGCCCCTGGTTCTTGTCCAGAGTGATTACTTCCCACTCTCACTGTCGTTAGGGGTAACTTTTCTGACCTAACTGCCCTTCCCCCACTGTGGCCAGCTTTCTGCTAAGGACCGGTCCTCCTGACCTCAGCTTTTGTTGTTGGATATTTTTTCTCCCGTGTTTCTTTATATCCTGCAAACGAGTGCAGTGATTCTATGTCTGCCCCTCGCCCTCTGACTCATTTCACTCAGCGTGATACTCTCCATGTCTGTACATGTATCAACAAATTTCAGGACTTCATTTAAAAAAAATTTTTTTTTATTGAATCACTGATAGACCCTTACAAAGCTGTTCATGATTAGATTTCAGTCATGCAGTATTCCAACACGCATCCCTCCACCAGTGCACAATTCCCAGCCCCAGGGGCTGCAGGTTCCCTCCCATCACCCCATCACCCCCTACCCCCTGCCTGCCTCTACGGCAGGCGCTTTTCTTCTCTCTCTCTCTCTCTCTCTCTCTCTCTCTCTCTCTCTCTCTCCTTCTTTCCTTTTGGATATTGTGGTTCGCAATATTGCTACTGAAAGGTTATCAAGAATATCCCTTACTTTTAATCCTCAGGTCTTGTCCAGTGTGAACATTCCCAGCTATTATTGACATACAAGTCTCTTTTCTATTGTAACTACCCTCAGCGGGCCCCCCCCGCCCCCACACACTTGCGTTGACCAGTCCTCCTAACCCCTGTTTTCCCTGGCCATGGATATTATTCTTCTACTATATATGTATTTTTTTATATACCACAGATGAATGCAGTCATTTCTATATCTGTTTCTATCCTTATGACTCATTTTACTCAGCATACCACTCTCCATGTCCATCCATTGATAGGCATATTTCATGGCTTCATTTTTCCTGACAGCTGCGTAGTATTCCATTGTGTAGATAGGCCATAGTTTCTTTATCCATTTGTCATGGCTTCATTTTTTTTCTAACAGCTACATAGTGGAGCGATAGCACAGCGGGTAGGGCGTTCGCCTTACAAGCGGCCAACATGGCTGACCCGAGTTCGATTCCTCCGCCCCTCTCGGAGAGCCCGGCAAGCTACCGAGAGTATTCGATATGCCAGACACAGTAACAACAAAGTCTCCAATGGAGACGTTACTGGGCCCGCTCGAGCAAATCGACGATCAACGGGAGGGCCTTTACCTTTACATAGTATTCTATTTTGTAGATGTACCATAGTTTCTTTACCCACTCATCTGCTCTTGGGCATTTGGATTATTTTCAGATTTTGGAGGCTTCACTTTTACCAACTCCAAACTCTGTTATACAGCAGTAGTAGTTAAAACAGCATGGTATTGGGAGAAAGACCTTCTGTTAAATGTAACAGATCTGAAAATCCAGAGACAGACCCGCAAGTATATGATCAATTAATCTATGATAAAGGAGCAAAAAAAAAAGGAAGTGGAGCAAAGAGGTGCTGGGAAAATCAACTGGCCAGCCACAGCTGCATGCAAAAAAAAAAAAAGGTTGTGGACCTCTCCTGACATTGTGCGCGAAAGTCAGATCGAAATGGATTAAAAAGAATCTCTTTTTTATTCCCTTTTTGGAGGGGGAAGCGTGGCTCCCGAGCAGGTCTCAGGGGGGCCTTTCCTGGCCGTTCAGTGTGAGGTCCTGAGGGCGTGGTGCTGCTTGGGCCCCCATGGTGCGGGGATTTGCCTGGGACACCCCTGCAGTGCTCCGGGCCTCCACTGCCACACCTGGAAGTGCTTGGGGGCAGGGGTGTGTGTGACTCTGTGGTGCCAGAGATAAAGCCAGGGTTATCCTGTGTAAAACGTGTGCCATGACGCAATATGTGTGTGTGTGTGTGTGCATGTGCGCGCGTGTGTGCGTGTGTGTGCATGTGTGTGCGCACACGCGTGCATGTTTGTGTGTCTGTGTGTTTCTGTGCATCAGATCTTTCCAGACACCGCAGGAATCTTCTCTGTGCCCCTGGCTCTGTGTGAGCAGTGGGGCCAGGAGTACGTCCTTTTATCGAACCCAGCCTTCCACACTGATGCTGGGCTGTGGGCTGGGCGTGGAGAACCTGCAGCGTTTGCCAGTCTGGCTCCTCTCCGAGGGGGGCCTGGCGGGTGTCAGCCATTGAGGGCTTGGCGGGGGTGGGGGTTGGGGTGGCTAGGCTCAGCCGCGCTTGCTCTGGGCCCAGGTTCCGGGCGTGGGGAAGCCGAGACCCGGGAGTGCATCTACTACAACGCCAACTGGGAGCTGGAGCGCACCAACCAGAGTGGCCTGGAGCGCTGTGAGGGTGAGCAGGACAAGCGGCTGCACTGCTACGCCTCCTGGCGCAACAGCTCGGGCACCATCGAGCTGGTCAAGAAGGGCTGCTGGCTGGACGACTTCAACTGCTACGACAGGTACCACCACTTGGGAGTTGCGGGGGGGGGGGGGGTGGTGAAGAGGGCTGTCCCGGTGGGGATGCTGCTCAGGGATGTCCTCCCCGGCCGGCCACCTTCCCTTTCTGGTCCTATGCTGGGGAGGTAGGACCCGCCCCCCACTCTGGGTGGGGAGCCTCTTTGGGCTGGCACTGCCCTGGCTAAGGGCCCTGTGTATGTGTCCCTGCAGGCAGGAGTGCGTGGCCACCGAGGAGAACCCCCAGGTGTACTTCTGCTGCTGCGAAGGCAACTTCTGCAACGAGCGGTTCACTCACTTGCCCGAGGCTGGGGGCCCTGAAGGTGAGAGCCAGGAGGGGTGACCTGGAGCCCTCGGCTCCCGAGGGTAGGTGAGCATGGGGCCGCAGGGCCCGCCCCTCTGGCCTGGGCAGCAGGGCGGGGTGGGCGGGCTGTGTGACACAGGGCTCCGTGTGTCCCCCAGTCACGTACGAGCCACCCCCGACAGCCCCCACTCTGCTCACGGTGCTGGCCTACTCGCTGCTGCCCATCGGGGGCCTCTCGCTTGTCATCCTTCTGGCCTTCTGGATGTACCGACACCGCAAGCCCCCTTACGGCCACGTGGACATCCACGAGGTGAGCTGGGGCCGACTGGGGGCCCGGGGAGCGGTAGGGAGTGAGAGGGATGGAGATGGAGTGATCAGGCCACTTCCCCATTAACTCCCTTCCTCCCCCGGGATCTTCCTCAGGACCCTGGGCCTCCGCCCCCCTCCCCTCTGGTGGGCCTCAAGCCGCTGCAGCTGCTGGAGATAAAGGCGCGGGGCCGCTTTGGCTGTGTGTGGAAGGCGCAGCTCATGAACGACTTTGTGGCCGTCAAGATCTTTCCCCTGCAGGTGAGGGTCCCGGGGAGGGGGCTGCAAGCCGGGCTCCCTAACTAGTGCTGGAGCACTCAAGCCCAGTGCAGCCCAAGCTCCCCTGGCAGGTGGCCTGAGGGAGACGTGGAGAAAGGGGCCCCAGTGCATGGCGGGAAGTGCCGCTCTTCACTGGGGCCTTGGCCTTGCCGAACCTGGGTCGGTCTTACTCCTCTTTTTAGGGGTGTGCTTAGGACAGAAACATCAGGTCTGCTTAGAGGGGTGTGCCAGGGGCCTTTACACCAGGCTAGCCAGGGAGAAATAACGAGGTGCCGGGCCCTGCTCTTCTCTGCCTCTCGTCCTTTGGGTGATTCTGGGCCACCCAGTGCCCTCTGCATGCCGTGGTCTGGTTTGTCCCTTGGGTGCTACTCTCGGGTGACCTCTGGGATCACCACTGGCCTGTGCTCCGGGGCCTGTTCCGTCGTGGGGGTGGGGGTTGGGGTGGGATTGGGGGCGTGCTGAGCCACCTGCCCGCCGCAGGACAAGCAGTCGTGGCAGAGCGAACGGGAGATCTTCAGCACGCCGGGTATGAAGCACGAGAACCTGCTGCAGTTCATCGCCGCCGAGAAGCGGGGCTCCAACCTGGAGGTGGAGCTGTGGCTCATCACGGCCTTCCACGACAAGGTGGGCAGTAGTGCGCCTGCCCCCGCCCCGGGGTGACTTCCCGTGGTGGCCTCAGTGCCCTCCTGCCCCAGCCCCCCACACCACATGCATTTCCTGCATCAATTCCTAACTCCCGGGAGCGGAGCTGGGCCCTGGCTTGTGCGAGGTGGCCCTCCCGGGACCGAGCTGGGTCCTGTCACCCCTCCCCCCTCCCCAGAGCTTGTATTCAAGTCCTCTGCTGGCTCCTCCCTTAGGGCTCGCTCACCGATTACCTCAAGGGGAACATCATCACGTGGAATGAGCTCTGTCACGTGGCAGAGACCATGTCGAGAGGCCTCTCCTACCTGCATGAGGACGTGCCCTGGTGCCGTGGCGAGGGCCACAAGCCGTCAATTGCCCACAGGTACTTGTCTTCCTGGAGCTGAGAGATGGGTGGCGTGAACACGCTTTGTGGCTCTGTCTGTGTATCCGAAGCGACTCGGCATGGATGCCTGGCCTTGCCCTTCCCTCTGCTCTCTGCCTGAGCCCTGGGCTTGGAAAACTGGCTTTTGGTGCCCTCCGGTGGCCACTTGACTCAAGTTGGCTGGAGAGTTGGCTCAGCAGTTTCCGGACTTGGGGTCAGGAGGACTGGATTGGGCTCTATGACTGGATGCAAGGTGCAGTCAGTCACGTTCCACAGGACCCAGAGTGAGTGCAGCCACTCGGAGTCTCTGCTCTGTCCTGGAGAGAGTAAGGCAGAAAAAAAGAAGATGGCAAATAATGGATTCTTACGAAGATACCCTGAAGCGATAGCACAGCGGGTAGGGCATTTGCACGCAGCCGACCCGGGTTCGATTCCTCTGTCCCTCTTGGAGAGCCCAGCAAGCTACCGAGAGTATCCCGCCCACACGGCAGAGCCTGACAAGCTCCCCGTGGCATATTCGATATGCCAAAACCAGTAACAACAAGTCTCACAATGGAGACGTTACTGGTGCCTGCTCGAGCAATTTGATGAACAACGGGTGGACAGTGCTATGGTGCAGTGCTATGAGAAGAATGTAGACCTTGGCAGATACCCGGAAGCAGCCCATGGCTCTCAGAGGTGCCCACACCTGGCACACCTTGAGAGCTGCCCCGTTGGCTCCTCGTCACAGTGTCCAGGAAGCGTTTAGAGAGACCAGCTCCCTTCTGTGCATTGCTGCCCTCTGAGGCGGGGGCTGCGTTTCTTAACCCATCTGCAGGGCAGAGGGCAGCGGTGCAGAGATGCGGGAGATCTGGCTGCTACTAGTTCAGCCTGGTTCCGTGGCTGGTAACAGCGATGGGTCAGGTGCTCTGCAGGAAGCTGCCATTGTTGGAGGTCACAAGACCACTGCATGCCAATGTTCCCATACCAACAAACTGTGCACGGGCATGGCGCCAGATGTGGCCCAGGGAATTTGTACCCGTTGCTCCTTCAGTTTAATCCTTAAACAAGGTTGAGAGAGGCACTGGGAGGTGAGCACTCCCAATCCCTGTCCTCTACAGGCTGGAGCTGGATACACATACTGGCCTCCCTCCCCCCCCCCCGCCCCCCCAGCCCCTGCTTGGTGTTGGGCTTGAGCCCCCCCGGGTGCCTGCTCAGAAATCCAGACCAGTTTGGGTCAACTATGTTTTTTGTTTGTTTGTTTGTTTGTTTGTTTTTAATTTTTATTAGTGAAACACCATGAGGCACAGTTGTAGGCTTACAAAATTTTTGTGCTTGGGTTTCAGTTATACAGTGATCGTCAACTCTGGTTCCTATTCCTCTCCCAGCTACTGTCAATCCCCAGAAAACTTGCTTCCTGCCCTCCACCCATGTGAGCGTGCCGGGCTGACTTTTGGCACTTGTGTGGACTGCGGGGGCGCTTCTGCATGAGCATGGCCTTAGGGCAGGTCTGCAACGTGCACTTTTAGGTCAGGGGTTCTTGTGCAGCTCTCACCGTGCATGGTTAGGTCAGGGATTCTCAGTGCCAGGTGAGACGTTGCCAGATGCCATGTGCCCTCACAGTTTTGTGGACTCCATCTGGGCGCAGCCCCTGTTCCGCACAGGTGGAGGGATCTGCTCAGGGGCACGGGGGGGCTTTAGGGCACAGGCCTTAAGTATCCTGGTCGCTGAGGTGGGAAACTGGGAGCGGCGTAGGGATCGATCTGCTCTCTGACCCGGTCTCAACCGTTTTGTCTCTACAGGGACTTTAAAAGCAAGAATGTGTTGCTGAAGAGTGACCTCACGGCGGTGCTGGCAGACTTTGGCCTGGCTGTGCGGTTTGAGCCCGGGAAGCCTCCCGGGGACACACATGGGCAGGTGATGAGCCTTGGGTGGTGCAAGAGGGAGCCTGCTCTCTGGGTATGGGGGGCCCTGCCTTTCTGCTGCTCAGCGGGCAGAGCACAGGGATGTGGCATGCACAAGCTCAGAACTGACGAGAACTTCTTGGCATAGTGCTTCCATGTCCTGGTTAGGAAAAGCAAGCTTTGGGGCTGCTCACCTCCGTGATCTCTTTCAGTTGTCATTATGGAGCAGGAGAAAAGAGAAAATGGTTTATAGAGAGTTTAGACCCCAAGCCTAGAAGAGCGAAATCATCCTAAAATGGTCATCATTAATATTTCCAAGCATTTGCCTTCGTCTTATTTTTGATAATCAGTTAATTTTTGTTTGTTGTTGATTTTGAACCACACTCAGGGCTCACTCCTGGCTCCGTGCTCATGGATCACTCCTGGTAGGGCTTGGGGGACCCAGTGTGGTGCCCAAGATTGAACTGGGGTTGATTGCGTGCAAAACAGGAGCTTTAAATGCTGTACTGTCTCTCCAGCCCTTGTTTTTGGTATGTATCTGGGTGTCCACACCTCGTGGTGTTCGGACCTGACTCCTGGCAGGGTGCAGGGTCTCTGGGGCACTGGGGATTGAGCCCATGTCTGTCCTGTGCAAGGCGGATCCCCTACCTGCTGTGCTACTGCTCCAGCCCCCAGCAGCCCACCTGTGTTCCCGGGGACCCACTGTAGGCTAGGGGCGTCAAGGCAACGGGTTCTCGTGAGATCACTGTCGCTGGGTCTCACTGAAAGGTGCCGAGACGTAACCTCTTGTCTCCTTCCTGAGAGTGGGGAGAAGCTGGGGTCGCCCTCCTTTTTTGTATTCCATTGCTACCGGAGAGGGTCCCTCACCCGCTGTGAGAGCACGGCTGCCTGGCCAGCGACGGGACCTCCCTTGCTTCTCCCTGTAGGTGGGCACGCGGCGCTACATGGCCCCCGAGGTGCTCGAGGGCGCCATCAACTTCCAGAGAGACGCCTTCCTGCGGATTGACATGTACGCCATGGGGCTGGTGCTCTGGGAGCTGGTGTCCCGCTGCAAGGCAGCCGATGGTGAGTGGACGGCGGGGGCCGCCCGGGGCGAGTGGGCAGGACGGGCTGGGTCCCCCTACTCTGGGCTGACCCCGGCGGGCTGCCTCTTACCCTCAGGGCCAGTGGACGAGTACATGCTGCCCTTCGAGGAGGAGATCGGCCAGCACCCGTCGCTGGAGGAGCTGCAGGAGGTGGTGGTGCACAAGAAGATGCGGCCTACCATCAAGGATCACTGGCTGAAGCACCCGGTGAGGGCCGGCGAGGCAGGGAGTGCCCCGGGCAGCAGGGTGGGCAGCGGGCACGGTCAGAGGGCCCGGGTGTCCTGCAGGGAGGCTCTGCTGGGATTTCGACTCTACCCGAGATTCTCTTTGATGGTCATGGCCCCATGGCCAGCAGCCTGGTTTATGTTGGAGGGCCAGGGTCTCCCATGTACCCTGGTGGAACTTTCTGGCTTTTTCTCTGGGACTGTTGTCATGGGGCCTGCAGCTTTGTCCGCACCAGCTCCAGGGGACTGACCACCGTCACGGTGCCCAAGCGGGCCACCACGCCAGCCACCATGGGGGGGAGAGTGGGTGGCCAGTTCCCTGAAGAGAGGTCTCCTGACTCCCGAGTCCCCGTGAGGCCTCTGTCAGGCCCACCTGCCGCTGAGGTTGAGGCTAGGGGGCTCTGCGGCTCTCCAGGCCTGGGGTTGAGGACATGGTCCTCCCCTCAGGAGCGCCGACTGGGGCCCCTGATCCTCCTCCTCCTCCTCCTCCTCTTCCTGCTCCTCCTCTTCTGCCGTCGCTGCTGCTCAGGGCCTCGCCCAGCTCTGTGTGACCATCGAGGAGTGCTGGGATCACGATGCAGAAGCTCGCCTGTCTGCCGGCTGCGTGGAGGAGCGGGTGTCCCTGATCCGGAGGTCGGTGAATGGCACTACCTCGGACTGCCTCGTCTCCCTGGTGACTTCAGTCACCAACGTGGACCTGCCCCCGAAGGAATCCAGCATCTGAGTTCCAGGACCCCGAGTGGATTCCCCCCCGCCCCTGCCGGACGCAGCGGGTCCGAAGAGGAAAGTGAGAAGAGAGTCGTGTTTCGTTTTGGAAATCCCATACCACCAACAAACACATAAAAATGCAGCTGCTATTTTACCTTGACTTTTTATTATTATAATTATGATAATTATTATTATTAATATTATTATTATTATTATTATTTTTTGGATTGGATCAGTTTTTACCAGCACATTGCTCTACTGTATGGCAAACAGCGGGCACGCCAGCGGGCGCTGAGGTGCTGAGCGGTGAACGCAGAGCCAGCGCCATGCTGAAGAGGCTCCGCCATCTCCTGTCCTTCGGGGTTCTTCCCCCCCCCCCCCCCAAACCGCCCTCTGTCTGTTGTCTCAGAACCTGTGACACAAAGAATCCCAGCTCCTGTCTTAGGACACTTAATGCTGCAGCTCTACCTAGAGGAGCCTTCGAAGACTGTTACATGCGAACACTCTTTCCTTCCTCCAGGGGAGCGCTCCTCTGCCCTGCCCTCTCGTCCCTCCCTTTTTTGATGGTTTCCCCCTCTCCCCAACCTCCTCCCTTTTCAGACAGCGTGTTTAAGAAACAGCAGACGTGTCTTTCGTGGATGAACGGGTGTTGTCCTGACCGAGGAGAAAGTAGGCTGAGAATGGTTTGGATTGGAGCTGGCGGGGGAGGACGAGCTCGGGGTAGGGTTTGGCACAGAGCTACACTGGACTCGGGCACATTCGAGGCAACATCCTTTGCTATGGAGCTACTTCTCAGGTAACCAGGAGCCGAGGGGAAGGACCTTAATGGAGGCAAGCGGGGTCTGGAGAAAGTACAGAGGCAGGTATGGCTCGAGCCCATCTAGCTGGCCCTGACCAGTTTTTTTTCTCCATCCACGTGGGCGTTGGGCGTAGGGCGAGGCATTTTTCTGCCCTCGTTTAAGAGAAGGCCGACATCGTCGCGGTTCCGTGAGTGCATTCTCCGTAAGACTTGATGCTCTAACTCTTTCACTGAAGAAACACTGACTTGCTGTGCTTCCTCCTGGAGCTGTACAGGGAAGTGCCCGCAGGGGACGCCCTGCACAGCCAGGGAAGGAGGATTTCCTGGGTGGTACCTTGTGTGAGGCCTGTCTCAGGGGACCGTCCCTGTCGCCCCCCCCACCCCCACTGCGTCAGTGTGGGCTCTGCCCTGTTGCTGACATGACTGTCCCCTTTTGTGGCTTGTGGACATGGCTTTCTCCAGACCCCTTAACGTGGTGCATATTCTAAAAACTTTTTTTCTATTATGCCATAACCTTGCTCTAGTCGGTGAATGTTCCTAATGCTGCTGTTTCAACATTTAAATTTCTTTTTTTTTTAATTTATAAAACATGCAATTTTTTTTTTGTGAAAACACACATATCCACATATACATACATGCTTTGCTATGTGGCTTCCGAGGTTTAAATTTTGAAAAGTTAAAAAAAAAAATGAAAACTTCACGACCACAGACCACCTCAAACCAGAAATACCTCAGAATTTTCTACTTGTGTACAAGTTTTATTATATATTTTGTTAGTTGTGTTGTCTTGTAGTGAGTATATTTTAATGTAAGTTGGCTTTTATGACAAGAAAATTTAAAAGAAATAGAGAAAAAGAAAAAAAAATAGTTGGAGTCTTGTAGGGAGAGCTACCTTTTTTTTTGATAGCAAACAGCCCCTTGTAAATATTTGTCGTCCACCCGAGGATGGCCGTCCGGTCGAGTTTGGGCATTCGTCACTCTTGTGGGTGAAGGCTTCTCTTCTGGTTTCTTTCGACCATTTTACTTTAAAACTGGATCTCTTCATCGTAAGGGTAGGCGATCGAGAGCTGGAGAGGGGCCTGGTTCCTCTTGGTTATTTGACGGTTCAGAGAGTTCCCTCAGCTTGATTGACAGGTAACATCACTTGAACTTGGTGGAATTACGGCCCTGAGACCCACCGAAGGGAGTTTGGCATGAGATTTTAATTCCTTCAGCAATCAAAAAAAGCTCTGGGCCGTGTCTGAGACTGCAGGCTGGCTCCGCAGCCTTGGTGGGGCGCCTGAGAGGGGCACATGGCGTGGCTTCCCCCTTCCCCTCACCCTCCCAACCACCCCCAGGAGGCACCGCTCCTTTGCAGGGCAGGTGTTGTGGTGGGGGGAGCTTCCTCCCTCTTGGAGCTCAGACTCTGCTTCAAGGGTCACATGGGAGCTGGCCGAAGTGGTCACAGGGACAGGGTTTCTTTTTTGTTGTTGTTCATTTTTTTTTTTTTTTTTGTAGTTTTGGTAAGCTATGTTGTCTTTCTTTTAAAAAGTGAAACTATTGGACTTCACGCTGTGGTACTTTTCTTCCCTTGAAATAATTTTTCAACAGCACACCAGGCCTTACAGCAGTTGCTTTTCTTTCCACTTATTTCTTTCAGAAGCTTTAAGATAGTTACTGAGAAGTGCCATATCTTTGTCTTTAGCTTTCTCCTCAGGCGGTGCTGGGCGTTCATACTGCGTATCCTCAGAAGAGAACATGAGGCATTCACCAGCAGAGATCACTGACCCCTGCATCACACCCGCTTGGGTGGAGAGGGCCTCTGGGTCATGTAGCTGGTGTTTGCGTGTGTGATTCCTGGGGAACAGGGTCCAGCTGGGCTGTGGAGTGCGCAGCTGGGGGCCCTGGTGTGGGGCGTGGAGCAGGCGGGTCTCCCCCATGGCCTCTGGGCTTCTCTCAGCGTGGTTCCCGCCTCCTTTCCAGCTCAGCCACACTCACGCCCCTCTGAGTGCCAGGGCCACGGGCAATGATACCTGTTGGGCGTGGCCAGGGAGAAAGGGCCCACGGGAGCTGTGTGCTGGGCACTGGGCATCAGCCTGCTCATCCCCTGCTGCAGAAGCAGAGCGGGTCACCAGGTATGAGCACTGGCACAGCTGCTGGCAGAAGGGCCCGGAGGCACCTGAGGTGTGCCGACAAGAGCCTGCTCGGGGCTGCTTCAGAGAAGGGACCCTTGAGAGCCCCAGCTTGTGTTTGTTGGGTGTGAAGGCTCTGCCTGCGATGTCATGTGACCCACTCCTAGGATGCTGGGTTAGCTACTGCCTACCTGTTGTCGTTCCTCCCTCCCCCCCCCACCTGCCAGCTCAGTGGAAGGCCAGGGAGTATGGGGTGCGACCTCGTCTTTCCTGCCTCGGAGAGAGCCTGCCCCATCTCCAGTGATCAAGGATCTTTGCTCCTCCTTTCTTTCTGGCACACTTTGCCAAGCTGGGCAATCCTGCCCGGAGGCTGGGAGCCTGCTAGAATGATCCAGGGGCTGGTGATAGCTTGGCTTGTAGTTGGGGGTGTTGGGGAGCACTCTCTGTTCGCATTGAGTCACTTTTCATTTTTGTTTGTGCAAAGGGGCTGGTCAGAGCCGCGTGAGTTTGTGAACCTCTGCTTCAAGTGCCCAGTGGTTCCAGATGGGTTTTGAGGGAGAATGAGTTCTGCTTGAAAACACCCGTGATCATCAAGCCAGGTCTACCCAGAGAGATCTCGAGATGGGCGAGAGGAGTAGGAGAAAATAGGGACACAGAGGTGACGGTCCCCTCCTGCAGGGGACTCTGTGAGCAGAGGTGGGGGTGGGGTTGGACAGCAAAGAGACCTGTGGACCTGGTCAGCAAAGTACCATAGGGTAGGGCATTGCTGTCCAACAGGAACTGACTCTGGCTGCTGGGGGTGGCAGGACCTTTCTTTGGAGAAGGAGGTGCCTGGCTGGGGTCAGTTGTGAGCAGCATCTGCTGTGGCCGTGGCGCATTTGCTGTTGGTAGGTGCCCGGTGACCTCCTTCCTGCCCAGGGAGGGCCTCCTCTGGGTGCCAGCTGCTTCTGGCTCAGAATCCGACCTGTCCAGACTGACAGGAAGGTGGAGAGGGCATGAAGGGTCATGTTGGGCCATGAGCAGAACCTTTAAGAGGTTGAAGAAGCACCGCCTTCCCTCCCCCCCCCCCCCCCCACAGTCTCAGCAAGGGAATCATCATCCTTCTCCCTCCTCTTGGGGCTACAGAGACTGCTTCCATGGGACCCCTTGCCCTCCTGCCACTCCACAGTGGTGACCTGGGCCCATCTGATGTTGGCCTTGGTGGCAGCAAGCTCGGCTGGTATGGGATGTCGTGGCCCATCGTGTGTCCAGAGCTGTGAGGGCAAGGGCCGTTGGACTATCTGTCTGGGGAACAGAGAGGAGTGAGCCTTTTGTAAATGTGACTTTGCCCTTTGTAGAATGCAGTGTCCAATTCATAGCACTTACTGGTAAGACAAGAACCTGAAGGTTTTCAGTGATACGCATTATGTACGTGATTAGAATCGGTACTAGAAATCGAGTAGTCGGGAATTATTCCTGAGAACATAGCTCACTAGAAAAATACTTAAACTGGAAGTATCATCCAGGAATGAACTTAGTTTACTGCTCCCAGCTGCTTCAATGGCCTGATGGGTTCTTGGTGGCTGTATTCTTGGTGACATGACCAGGCTTGTCCCCCAGCCTGGGGGGCACTGGACCATGCCTGCCCACGAAACACAGGATAGCAGACTTTTCTCTCCCCTTGTTGGGTACCATGAATTTTCCTTGGTCAGTGACTGTACAAAATCTGAACTAATAAGATACTCAGAATGTGTTCAGTATAGTTAAGATGAGTATAAGTCTCGATCACTAGTAATGTTTTAGGTAAAAACAAAAAGAAAAAGGACACGTAGTTTAAGTGATGAACTGGTTTTCTTCTCTGTTTAGACTTGTAAAGGTTTCTATGAATTCAGGGTTCTCCATCTCGTTCTTTCAGTGTGGTTCCTGGTAGTTGATTTCTAACCAGCAATCCACCTATGAATGTATCCCAAACCTTTAGAAGGCTTGGGGAAAAAAAATTTTTTTTTAAGATAAGATTTCATTTTAATGAAAAAACACAATGTTTAAAACCCGCCCCCCACCCCCCAACTTGGAAATTCCGTCAGTGCAGTCACATTTTGAAATTAATTGCTGGGTCCAAGAGACCCTTAAACTGTCTTTAAATAAAAGTCCAAATCATCCAGTAAGATAATCCTATTTTATACTTAATTGGGGGTCTATCCTAAACTTTGATTTGATCTGATGTTGAATTTCAAGGGTTTCTTCCCGTGCAAATTTTTTTAACCGAGCTTTTGACATTTTGTGATGGTATCTTCTGAGTCTGAATGGAGCAGGACTCTGATTGTGGTACTCCAAGTATCCCCTGTAGTGCCAAACCCCTACCCCCGGCCCTTGTACTTTATTTGCTCCTATGGCAGCTTGTAGACATAATACCAATGGTTTTCCCTCACGAAGTAGAGTGTAGTTCTTTGAGTGCTGGTGTATGGTGCTGGCCAGCGTGTGCTGTGCTCTCTGTCCCAGGAACGTCTTGGGGCTCGTGGGGCCTCAGCAATCTTGAGACCCTGTGCAGGCCACCCACAGGATGCTAAGGACATGCCCACACTGACATGTGTCTGTGTACGTGCGCTGCATTGGACAGATGTGGACAGCCTCTTCCGGACAGCCCCAGAAAAGTATTATATTCATTTGCAAAGTTTACATTTCTGGGCTCCTAGTTACGGGAACTAGGATCCATTAGCTCATTTATGCCTTTCAGGCAGGTGAGGATGGTTTTTGCAAATGGATGAGTTTTGTTTGAGTCCTGGGACTTTCTGCTGTAGGTTGGGCATGGGCGCCTTTCCCTGACTCTTCCCGGGACCGTTTGCATCAGAATGTCATTCGGTAGCATTGTAAATAAAAGAGTAGGTTATATAATAGAGATCTGACACTTGAAATTTTACTTTTAAGAAATCTATAGCTCTACATATATATTTAGTTATATCACCTGACAGATTCTTCTGCGCAGTGTG